AGTTCCAAATTTTCTTACTCTCTTCTTTCCTGTCTTTTCTAACCCAGCCTTCCCATCTGTACTTTGGTATAGCTTTTGGACCAAACCAGAAACTGACATCCTTTGTCTTTCCTGTGTCTACTGTACCCTCATCTCATCACAACAATTATGTCCCATTCTCTCCGCTCTGTCAGTGTTTGCTTTCTCTATGTTTGGACTGCTTGCATGGGTCTTAGTCCATGTGGGCTGCTACAATGAAACACACAGACCAGGCAGTTTATAACCAACAGGATCTTCTTTCTCACATTTGCAGGCTGGGAGCTCTATGATCAAAGCACTAGCAGAATTTGTGTCTAGTGAGGATCCACTTCTGGTCTGTAAAAGACCTCTTCTCAGTCTTCACAGAAGAAAAACTGGTTTCCATGAGGCTTCCTTTTGTCAGGGCACTAGTTCCATTCCTGACAATTATCTCATGACCTAATTATCTCCCAAGGGCTCTACCTTCTGACATCTTTACCTCAGGGCTTAGAGGTTCATCGCATTCTGATCACAGCTGCCTCCAAGCCAATGGTGCCTCTTGCCTGGACTATTGTCATGAACCTTCCCCTTTGTCTCTGTTTTCTGTTTCTCTCCTTAGCAGTTTGTTCATGAGACACAACCAGGGGAGGGGTGATGAGGGTTAGTGCTCAGTGGTGCCACCAGGCTGTGCAGACTGGGTAGGGTATGGCTGGCAGAGCTTGTGAATGTGATGCAGCTTGCCCTCAATGCTCTCGCCTGCCCGCCAGCTCTGTCTGTCACGGGAAATCCCTCCCGCATCACTTTCCTTTGGTTCCACCTTTGACCATCACCCTAATCTCAAATGAGGCATCAGTGCCCTTTTTTACTGTTTCTGTTATAATTAGCTTTCTTGTGATATATGTATATGAGCTTCAAGACCACCAGGAATAGGGTCGAATCTGATCACCATCCAATCACCACCATCACCATCACCATCACCACCACCATCACCACCACCATCACCATCACCATCACCACCACCATCACCATCACCATCACCATCACTATCACCATCACCATCACCATCCTCCATTGAACACTAGGTGTATTTCTTGGCCCCATTTAGACTTTGCTTCTTATCTGCAGCTGGTTAATAATGTTAATTCTACAGAGGTTTTAGAAGAAAAGAACAAAGGTCCTGGCTATCACACCATCAGCACACTGGCCCGCACTCTCTCCCTTTTGTACTTACATTTTAACAGATGAAGATACTAATTTTTCCAGCAGGATCATTTTACATTTTTAATCAATTTACCATTATTATTCTCATTCTCCTTATTACTTTGCAGTGGTGAGGCTCTGGCCCTGGGTCTTGTGCATGCAAGATAGTGTTATATCATCAAGCTTCTCCAGCTTTGGGCCCACATTTTTACAAAAACAGGTCCTCGGCCCTGCAGCCCCACAGTGCAGAGGTGCTCTGATTTTATGTCCTGACACAAAGAGACCTGGGAAGTGCAAAGACAGTCCTTCCTTCTCATCAAGGAAGCCTCTTTGCTTGTGTGGGAACTGCTTGTTGAAGTTTTGATTATTTTTTGAAAGATCTATGCTTTTAAAAAATCTGAGAACTACTCCATTAATGCCAAAATAATGTATTTAATGGTAGAAATTTCAAGCATGTTGGCAAGTCAGATTCTGGATCAGATTTGTAGGAAGTCGCTTGTCCATGACTCATTCCCCCAGGGGGCAATGAGCAGCGCCTGCTGCCCACCTTCATTTCCAATACTGAATGTGGCAATTTCGCTGAAAAGCTGCAATTTTAAGTGGAGCTGTCACTTTCCTGGGTTGAGTTCTGCCGTGGCCTAGAGGTCCCCAGTGCCTGTGTCTTAGAGGTTTGGTCCCGGGAGTGGCGGAGGGAGGGTGGTGGAAGCTAAAAGGAAGTTAAAAGTAGGCTACATCTCGGGTGGGATTTGGGGTGGGAATTTGAAGAGGGCAATGGGACCCCAGCCCTTTCTCTTTGTCTCTTGCTTACAGGCTCAGTGTGCAGCTGTGTCACATGCCCGGAACTGTGTGTCAATGAGTTGCAGGCTGATAACTCAAAACCTCTGAGTACAAACAAGACTTTTCTTCTTGTAAATTCACTATTCCACCTTGTTTTGTCCAGTTTTTTGTTTTGTTTTCTTTCTCTCTTTTTTTTTTTATCGGTACCAGGGATTGGACTCATGACCGCATGCTTGCAAGGCAGGTGCTTATGCTGCTGAGCTAACTCCCCAGCCCCCGGGTATTTTGGTATAGTGATGGAAATCTGGCCAACACAGATTCCCACCTACACTCGGAAGCCAGAATTCCAGTCAAGTGGTTTATTCAGAATATGATACCGGATGAGCCCTGTAGAAGAGCAGAAAATGATACAGAAGTGGGGGGGGGGAGTAGCTAGCTTAATCTTGTTGGGGAGGTCTAATGTGACCCACCCAGGCAAAAGGAAATGGGAGTGTTCGTCCACTCGCCCTGTCACCCATCTTCAAGGGCCACTTTCACAGGCACCAGCTTCTCCTCTCTTTCCACCTGCTCCACTCTGAGGTCAAGAAACACCCCAGTATGTACAGCTGCAGGGCTTCAAGCAGGATGGACAGAGGTGACCTGGGGGAGGGACAATGTCTGCCCTTGTGACCTGGGGGATGACAGTCGCTCCCTGTGATTACTGCATACATGGAAGGAGGGCAGGGTGATGCTCCAGCTTGGCCCCCGGAAAGTAACAGGTAAGAGTGCTGCTCTCCCTCCTCTTGATACTGCCAATGCGACATAGCCACCTGCAGAACTGCTCCATGACCGGTAAGAGTAACAGCTGCGGTATTCTTGGCAATCATGAGTAAGGATTTGTAAACCCCGACAGTGTTTCTGACACTGTGCAGCTCTGCAGTCAGCGTTAGGGTATGGGTTACAGGGGAAGCGCTCTATTTGAAGGCACTTTGCTCTTCAGATTCTCCAGATAATTTTACCTGCTTCCCACAGTGGTTAAACTGACTCCACTAGATCAGCACCCAAAGACTGTGGGAGTTACTGTGCATCTTTGTCATTTTTGTCATGAGTTATTAGAACAGCACCTCTCACTGGTCAGTGAGCTAGTGGTCCTTGTTTTGAAAATCTATGCAGACAGCAGTTTGACCAAGTTGCTGTAACTTACTCCTCCACCCACCCAGAGTTTCACCTTCACAGTAAATTGAATCTTCACGTGTCCACACGTGTGCTCCTTCCATACCTGTGGCTTTTCTCACTGTTCACCTCGTTGTCCCAGTGTCAATTTCCATACTGCTTAATTAATATAGATTTATTACGTATCTTACTAGTTGAGAGGTGCTGTTCTAATTTGCTACTCTTCTTCCATATTTTCGTGGTATTTTAGAATCAGCTTGGTAACATCTATAATAATCACTTGCTGAGGCTGGAGTTTCAGCTCAGTGGCACAGCACTTGCCTGGCAAGCACAAGGTCCTGAGTTTGATTCCTGGTACCTCAGCCCCCCAAAATGGCCTGCTGATATTTTAATGTGGATGTTGTTGAATCTAGATGACCTAGATTTCTGACACTGTCCTCTCTTATTCTTGAGTCTTTATATCCATGAGTATGATATAGTGCTCTAGTTAAGTAAGGCCAGGTCTTAATTCTTCATCGTTTGCTGGGCCAGTCTTGCTTCCGTAGATCTCTTTGTGAGTGTGTCATAGCTGATAAAGCTCCATACTTTTTGTTCATACATAGTTTTATATCAATAACTGTTTGTTCACTGACCTTGCTAGATAGTCTTGTGGTTCCTGATCCTTTGTTTGAAGAAACATTGACCTTGTCTAAGCAGACATCCCTCCTCCGTGAGTACCGCTGTCCTCGGGGAGGTTGGGGCGGGGAGGCAGTCAGGGGCGGCCAGCATTTCTTGCCACACTCTGAGTGCGTCTGCAGGGCCTGTTCGTCCCTCTACACTCACAAGACAGTCACGGGCCATGCTGAGTCCAGCAGAGAGGGGAGGCCTTGCCCGCCAGGGCCACGGGGGGCAGAGGTACGCCCACTTCCTCTGGCCTTGTCCTCGGCACTGGCTGTCCCCTGCCCCTGGGGAGGACCTGGCAATCTGGGCATCTGCATCTCAGTGAGGCTCGGACTAAGAGGTCAGGGGCCACAGAGGGCGGCCCTTTTCAGTTGCGGCAACCTGGAAGGGAGTGAAGCTGCATTTCATCCTCTCCTGGGTCTGAGGTCACATCTGCAGCTTTGGTTTCCCCTGCTGTGTGGACCACGCTGCACCTCTGTCTCTGCTTGTGTCCTCCCTCAGGGTCCCTGTCCTCACAACCAGCCATCAGCATCCCTCCCTGTGTGTGCTGCTGGCCTTGTTTTTGTCATGGGTCACACTAAAACTCGCCACCCCTCGTTCTGTCTCTCCCTTGGCTGCTGTTTCTCATCCTCCGCCTCTGAAACTTTTCCTACATTGTTACATCAGTGCATACAATTCCGATTTCTGCCTTTGGCTTTCATGTCTCACATACCTGCAAAATCCTGCTGATACAGAGAATAAAAATTTATTTTTCAGAATTAGAATATGAGTTTCTAAAAATATCTAACCAATGATTCAGCAGCATATATTTTAATTCAAGTTTGGTTAAATTAATATATATTTGCAGCTAATTCTAGATTTTACTGAGGTAAAGATTTTCCATATAAAATTTCCTTTAGTACTAGTTATAGGAGCTAACATTTCCTAGGGCGCTACCATTACAAGAACATCTCTATTTTTCTAGATGTCTGGTCTTTATGGAAGAGGATTATTTTAGTTACTTTCACATTGCTGAGACACAACAGCTGACACCCATAACATGAAAGAGGAAAGGTGTGTTTTGGCTCACAGTTTGTGGAGGTTTCAGTCCAAGGTGGACTGACTCCAAGGCAGGGCAGTGTGCCAGAGGGGCAGCACAGAGGAGAGCAGTCCATGGCATGGCAGACAGGCAGCAGTGAGCTCTGAAGGTATGTTTCTCAATAAATTGTGTACAATTCTCTCCACTTCAAAATTTTAATTTATGTTATAATGATTGTGCATTACATATGCATCTATATCTCTATGCACAAGCATATACAAATCTGTCTACCTATCCATCTATCTATCTCCCAGTCACACCCACAAGGACCCACCTACCTCTTCTCCCCAGGCTTTCTCTCCCAGCATCACACCCATAAGTGGAATAATCCAGTGTCACATAGCCACGATCCAGTTACCTAGCAAAAGCCCCACCTATGGGCACATGAGACATTAGGTGGATATCTAGATACAACCACCACAAGGCTGCAGCTGTGAATAGCCCCTTTCGGGGTTGAGAGCTTGGCAGACAATTGGGAAGGCACACAGTAAGGCCCAAAGCCTCAGAATGTGGGGAGGCTGATGATGGCTCTGCAGATAGAAGCACACACATGACCTCCATAGCACGATAAGGAATTTAGATTTCAATGACAAAACCCACTTGAGGATATTTAAAGTGGGATTTCTAAATTTAAAAGAACGCATGTTACAGTCTTTAAAGACCAGAGGCTGAAGGGGCAAGGAGAAGAATGTGTCTGAAGAGGTGAGAGGAGGGTACCCCAGCAGGAAGGGTCCATCCAGGCAGGGCTTTGGAGGTCCTCAGGGCAGGTATGGCCGGTGGGAATCGCGAGTGCAGATGCCAGGGGTAGGTACTGGTAACTGGGGATGAAGACAGAGAATTCAGCATCATTTATGGAGTCCAAATTAAGGGTCATTATCAAAACAGGTTGTGTAATCTGTGCAAACCCTAGTGATACATTTTGTCTAAAGTATCATGTTTCTGAGCTTTGTGTACGGCGGTTACATAGCTGGGTTCCCTGTAATCCTCTTACCTATTTCTCTTCTCTTCTCTTCTCTTTTCCTCTCCTCTTCTGCTGCTATTCACGTCTCCTCTTTTCCTTAGGTTTAGTTTAAAATAAACTATTAAGAACTTTTAGATTTGAATTGCAGTTTCTCCCGTACCCACTAGATGGAAGTAAAGCATAGGATTTTTTTTTTCCCATACAGCAGCTAAATATTTTGAATAAAAATGTCTGCTTAAATTCATTATGAGTTACCTGGTTACAAAGGTGAAAGGCATTTACCATATAGTCTAGAAATATCAAAAGTCAGACAGAGAAACTGAATCAGTGGTAATGTCTACATGGCACCCACAAGCTAACCCGGCTTAGCTTACTGATATACACACCATTGTATCATAACCCTCTTTATACTTGTTTATTTTAATATTTAATTTCCATATTTGTGGGTTACAGTGTGACAATTTGATACACGAATATTGTGTGTAAGTTATCAAACCAGGGTAATTAACATTTCCACTTCCTGAAGCATTTATTATTATTTTTTGTTGGGAATGGTCAGGATCCTCTTTTCTAGTTCATTATAAAACATGCGATAAAATGTCTGTAATTCTCTCCATTTTAAAACTTTAAATTAAATTTGTAATGATTGTTCATTGTATATTCATCTATATCTCTATACACAGTATAGACAAAACTATTGTAAACCAGCTAAAGTAAGCAGACAGACACATACAAATTTGCCCATACCTCTAATCCTTTGAAAGATGTATTCCCAGAATTTGATTTGGTCAAAAGAAGCGAAGTTTTTAAGCCAAATATGGTAGCATACGCCTGTAATCCCAGGACTGAGTGGTAGAGGCAGGATTATCATTTTGAGCCCAGTTTGGGCAAATTAGAGATTTAGCGAGACCTTATCTCAATTATGTTTAAAAGATGCGCTTGTGTGTGCGTGTTAGCATGCGGGTGCGCGGGCACCCACTGAAAATGCAGTTCTTTGTGAAGGCTCTGGGTTAAATCCCCAGAACTGAACTACAGGGCATTTTAAGATTCTAGATCTACTCTCCGGTTTCTTCGGGATGGGCTCAGCCTGGGCCCCTCGCTGGTGACACTTGTTCCCGCGCAGGCCCCTTGCGCTGTCGCCCTGTCGCACGCGTGTTCTCGCTTGTTTTAGAGCAGTGGCTTTGCTTCCAAAAGCGCAGCGGTGAAACACCCCGGACACACCCTGGCTACCCAGAGAAGCATTAGGGATCCATCTGATACAAAGCGAAAGAAAAAAACTGGTGGCCAGCAGGTGGCGCCCGAGGAATTGCAGTAAGCGGAGACAATGGGGGGCTCGGTGCTCCCTATTTTCGTGTTAATGCTTGCAGCAGGTGCTAAGTACTTCCACCAGGCACACCTGGACACCCGTCATTCATTCCCCTCCCCGCCGCCCGCCCTCCGCCTCCCAGCCCCAATGCCTTCCAATCCCTCAGAACAGCGGCCTGTCCCCTTCCCTTGACTTCTGTTTTGTGCTTAATTACTACTGTGCAGGCCAATTTAGCTCAGCGGCTAAAGTAAGCACCTACCCGCCATACGCGAGGTCGTGAGTTATCCCCGGTACAAATAAATTATTGATACTTTAGGTTCTCATGGGGGAGAAACCGTTAGATATTTAACCTGGGTTTGGCCCCTTCCCTCGGAGCTCATCTGCTGAGGCCTGGAAGCCGCAGCGTCCCTCCCCAAGGTGCCTCAGGATCTAATGCAAGGGATCCAGGCACCTCAGTCCACGTCAGGCCAGCAGAGGAGCCATGGGCGTTGCACTGCTTTGACCTTTAGAAATTAAAATTTTTGGAAACTTTGCCACTAAGCCGAATGGTGCGGGTGCCCTGGGGAGATGTCACAGGGCGAAGGCACCTGAGAGGCTCCGTCCTCTCCCTGCGTGACTGTCCCCTGTGAGCCGCTTGAGTGGGCGTCACTGTGTCTCTGGAGCGCAGTGCCTAGGCAGGAGTTACGCACAGCGCGCTTGGCGGGCGGCGCCGTGGTGTCCCTGGAACCCTGTGCCCCAGGATGAGCCCCTGCACCACAGGCAGGGGACCCTGGTCTTCCTTTCACTCCTGTCGTTATTATGTGTGTACATTGGTTCTTCAGGGCGGCGATGTGTAAGAATTACCTGCTGGATCTTTTGCCCTGTTTCTTTGTTTCTCGTCCTAAACATTCTCCTTTTAACTGTATAGGAACTTTATTTAAAAGCAGCCAAGACAACTGGGAAGGGCAGAGACACCCTTTCAAACCCTACTGGTGATTATCAGTAAATCCGCTGCCTCTGTATTTAATGACAAAATATTTGCTTCAGGGAAGGAATAATTCAGAAGCCTGATCTTCATCTTCTCCTTTCTATGATTTATACGACAAAAAACCTGAGTGCTTTTAGGGAACAGATAGCAAGCACAGGCCTGGGAAACAGAGGGGAAAATAGAGCGTGGAAAATTGCCGGCTTCCTGTGCGTTCTGGAAAGCACTAGCAGAAGGTGTAAGATCCCTCTCAAGTGCTGCGCTCACTTAACGCAGCTTCTCCCGCAGGAAGTCAGTGCCAGGAGGAGGGCAGGGAGACAGGGCGAGTGCTGCGCTCCCCCTTGGGCGCAGCCTGCTTCCAGTACAAGGCAGGGAAAGAAGCTTGTTCTTCCCCCCAACCTTTCATTCTTGTTGCTTTTTGCTGTCTTCTCCCGCCTTGAACTGTCGCCCCTGTTCCTCGCACCCTGCCTTGGAGCCTGCTGCTTATGGACTGAAACTTCCACAAACTGTGAGCTAAATAAGCCTTTCTGTCTTTAATGTGGGTGTCCGGTGTTTTGCCTCAGCAAGGAGAGAACAGTATCTAAGACACTGCCTCCCTCCACCCTGTGCAAGTTCTGGGGGTTCCAGGGGTTCCTCGATTTGCAGCATCTGAATCCAACTTCTGTTCCATTCTTCCATAACCCCTTCCTCTTCTAAGTCTTCTCTTCTTGTTTCTTTTAAGGATAAGGGACTTAGGGTCCACTCAGATAATCTAGGATGATTTTATCTTGAGATCCTTACCCGAATTTCATCTTCAGGTAAGAGTATACTGATGACTTTCAGGGATTAGGGTACCACATAGTTTTTGGAGTATATCACTGAACTGCTGTACATTATGTATAAATTCCCCAAATGTCACAACATCCCATTTTAAGCCTCAAAATTTGGACGTTTTATATCTGTTATACCTCCACTGAAGCCTGAAAAATTATGTCATATTCTGTTCTAATCTCCATCAGTGAATGTGTAAATAGATCATGATTGTCTGATGGATGTTCAAAGAACACATTCAAGATCATTTATTGCTGTGATATTTAGGTGAAAGAAAAGCCAGTCCCTCGTTGTTTTCATAATCACATCTTCACAGACTCTAGAAATGAGTTTCCATGGTCATTAAGCCATGGTAAGCCTTGGAGGACAAAATAATCAAGGGTACTTCCAGCAGGAGAGGAGGATACTGCATATAACTCCATAGCATAAGTCAGCAGCATGAACAGTATCATATTTAAAATGAAGTTAAGTGAAAAGGTCTTTTTCAGTGGAACATCTCTGAACATGAACTCCATCAGTGTCCACACTGTTAAATTAATTTTCTAGTTATTATATATTTACTTAATTAGACCATCCAGTGTTCTTGTGATCTAGCATAGATTCTTAGCAAGCTTTTATCTCCTTTGGCTTAGATGACCAATGTCGATTTCTTAATACCTTTTTGAGTTTAATCTTGTGCTGTCTTCCACATCTCCCTATCGATCCTGCATAGTAAATTCATATTAATTAACTGAGCACAGTGTGAAATTATCATTGCTTTTCCCTGTTTGCAGACCTGTTTAATCTCTGCTACCTGTGTCATTTCCTGCACTCTTCAGCTTTCTGTTTGTAGTTCTTGCTAATATCCTCTCTTGGAAGTCACTGGAGCCACCTTTCACACACACACACGGGCACACACACATCCTGAGAATGTTTTAGCTTCTGTGAAGTCAGCAATGGTGTCCAATAACACTATTCCTTCATTCAGGGGATGCTAATACACTGTGGCTGGTTGTGATTCCTCCACAAATACTTGATAAACTTGGATTGAGCTGTGATTAATTGATTGAAGACTGTTCTTTCTTTCTTTCTTTCTTTCTTTCTTTCTTTCTTTCTTTCTATTTTTCTTCTGAAAAAGTTAGACTATTTTTACATTTCCTTCCTTAGGCTTTAATTTTACCATCTGTCAAAAGTAACAGTAAATTTTTTGCCACTTGTCTTGTAGCTAAATAGTGAATGAGAAGAAATGAAGTTGCTTGATGATCAGTGATGTCTGTTTGAACCAACACTGGGCCATGTGACAGTGACATGGTTTTCTGTAGTTCCAAGCATGCTTTCCTACAGCCCTCGTGTCATGAGAAGTCCCAAGTATTCCAAGCAGCTCTCCTTAGCAGGTCAGTGCCAGCACAACAACCTGACGACTTCTTGGAAATGGCTGCTAAGCCCAGCACCCAGCACCCAAGTGTCCGACTCAGGATATCTGGGAGGGAACCAAGGGTCCCGGCTTGCAAGGAGCCTTAGTTAGCACCTCTGGGCTCCAGGGGGGCAGGCACTCAGAGTGAGAGTGCTGTCACGTCACCCCATCCTTACTGATTCCCTGCGTCCTGATTTCATCGGTGACTGAGGGAGAGGTGGGGCATGATGAGAGGAGGACAGTGTTCCTAGTAGGGAGCCACTTGTCTTTCTCCCCATATTTTGGGAAGAGGAGAAAGGGCTGTGTGTTCTCCCCTCACCCAGATTAGTGCCTACAAGATCACTTGTGCAGCTGGAGTGTCCGTCGGGAGTGGAGAATGCCACCTCCTTGCTTGGCAGGATGCTTGCTGAGTCTGACATTCTGCTTTTGTGCTGCAGGTCCGGGACACAGGGGAAGAGCCTGGATACACGGCAAGGAACTGCTACTCAGAGCCCTCAGCGCTGCAGCGCACATTAATGGGGAGAGGAAACTCTAAGGGTCTGCCAGTTCCAGTGGGCTATTATTCCTACACCCTTTGAGCAAACTGGAAAGCTCCTTCGAACAGAGGTAAATGCACCAAGTTGCCGTTTTCTTTTTCTCTTCCTTCTTGGGGACATTCCTTCAAGGGCTTCTGTGCCTTTGCCTGACTACTCTGCTGGCCTCTGGCTTGGCCACAGGTCACAGGAATCCTGTATTGGCCACTCTCACACTGCCAAGTCCTCTCTCCTCCTGCTTTCCAAACCCTTGTCTTCAACCTTTTAATTCATTGCTTGCACGTTTCACCCTTAAGAATACTAAATACAGTTAATTTGAAGCTCCCCACTCTTTGCAATATCCTTTCCTGACTCTTTTTTTCTTCTTTGTCTCCATTTTAATTTATTAGACATTATTTTCAAGTCATGCTGATTTTATTTAGTGGTTTCTGTCTGGGTGAGACGCTAGAGCTTCAGTTGCTGCTTCTGTGGGTGTGGGTGGGCGTAGAGGGAAGGGGTAGCGTGAGTGTCCGTGTGGGGTGGGCTGCCTACCAGCTTCAGGTGTGGGCAGCAGGAATGATTTGAACCCAAATCTTTCATCTGAAGGATTTTTAAAAAGCCGTTTACGGCTCAGGATGGGAATGTTCAGTAAGACTTGTTTCCAGGCTGGCTTGTGATCCCAACACTGCATGCAGAGGCAGGGTAGGTTTCAAGTTCATACCCAGCCTGGGCAGGTTAGGGATTTAGCAAACCCTGTCTCTAAAGAAAAACTTTAGCTTCCAGCATTTTGAAGATTGCCTTCAGGGAACCAGAAAGGTGTTAGGTCTGAGAAGGGGAGGATGGGAAGGAAGGAAGGAAGGAATGGAGAAGGAAGGAGTGGAGTGGAGTGGAGTGGAGTGGACTGCCGTGGAAGGAGTGGGCGGCGGTGGCTGCAAAGATAAGAAGTATAAAATATAAGTAACCTTTATTTCGGGAATGCGGGGAGAGACCCCCCCCCCGGCCCCCGGGGCGCAGCATCTCCACCCCGGGGCCGGTGGTCTCTCTCTGGAACACACTCTTTTTTGAACACGTGGAGTGAGGTCCATAAGTAGCCTCTGTCTGAGGTGGACCCCAAAGGGCATCAGGGATGCCCATTGGCACACGTTTGGCGCCAGAGGCAGGTTCTTAGGGATGGGGGTATAGGGTTACAGGTAAATCTCTAAGGGGCGGGGGAGGCAGGAGCTCCTTAATTTGGCTGAGGCTTCTCCTGGTTAAAGTGTCCGGTCTGGGCCAGCAACTCTTTCAAAAGGTATCTGGGGAAAGACGATGTATTTTTTCAATCTTTTGTGAGCAGAAGACAGAACAAGGTCCAAGCAGATGCTGTGGCACTTTTATGTACTTTGAAACAGCATAAACCATGGCCCCTGGATGTGGTTGGGGGGATATGAACCTCAGCAAACACCAGGAATGGTCCTGTTCTGGCACAATTTGAAAAATGAGCGATATCCTTTAAATATAATGTTGGTACTAAAAATGCTGTTTAGATACTAAATAAAACTCAAAGCAAAGAATACCATATACATTTAGAAAATGATTCCTTTGATGAATCAGGAAAATGACCCAATTCACCTGCATAATCAGTAAGCCATCACACAACTCAGTGACAGGAAGGGTTCCCTGGTGCTGGTGGGGTTTTTTCATCAGCTGGAGCTATGCAAAGGGGCCTTTAATATAGAACTCCTGACCAAACAGAGGAAGATTCCCACCCAGGGCAGCAAGCTCACAGACAGGGCTTGGTGTGTGCAGGGTCTCCTTTATCAGGCCACAGCAAATATGTAGGTGTTTACAGTCATTTGCATCTGTTATGGTGTTAGATATCCTCACAATGGTAAACAGAACTACACAGCAGTGCAGGTTTTTATTTAAAAAGTTCTGAATAATAACATGATTAAAACACATGTAGTTTATTGACCTAGACTTGCATTCTCAGATCATCAAACTTTCCTTTTTTAAATTAGTTTTAAATTCTTTTCTCTTGGAGTTGTGAGGATAGCTCAATGGCAGAGCATTTTCTTCAGGGAGGCCCCTGGGTTCCATTCCCAGAGTGTGTGCATGTGCGCGCGCGTGCGTGCACGTGCACACACACACACGCACACACACACACACACACACACACACACACACACACACACACACTTTTTAACTAAGAAGAAATATTTATTCTAGAGTTATTAACATTATGCACCAACATACTGGGTTAAAATCTCTGCATAGACGATGAACACATTGTAAGAGTGACCCAAGCTTTCTGTGTGGCCTGACCTGCCCAGCAGAACACAGTGACTCTTAGCAGAGAGAAGGTACAAACCTTGACTGGCTCCTCATTCGCTGAAAGGCTCCGCCACCGTTCATTCCACAGGGCTTGAGAATCACTCAGGCCTTGCTTAATTAGAAAGGTTGGCTCTTGGTGCATTTCCCATATAGGGCTTCCAGGGAGAAAGGCTTCAATGGAGAAAGGAGGCATCTGAAATCTGATTTTGAAGGGAGAAATATCGAAAGCAGATTAATAGGAGGGTGTGAATTCCATCAGAGTTACTGATTGTCCTTTACAGTAGGTTGACCACTCATGTAAAGGGAACTGTTTGCTTTGCCACTTTCCAGGTCCTTTGTGGGTGTGAAACTCAGCACACCTTGGAAGTGTGATATTTGTGGTCAATGGCAGATGGGATGGAGATGAGCTGGTTGTCTGACCCGAACCCTGTTTGTATGCAGCAGACTGTTTTCCTGACACTTGCTAAAAGAGAGGTGTAATGGTTGATACATTGTGTCAACTTGAGAAGTTTAAACCCACAGAATAAATAAAGCCTAAAAATACCTATTTAAAACATAATAAGACAGAGACAGATTTACAAACAGATGGAAAGATATTTGACCTTACTTATAGTTAATCCCAGGAAAATTAATCTTTTGTTTTGATCTTTCCCTTAAATCAGTAGAGGAAAGAGATGCCAAAAGCATGGCTGGCGAAGAACTAATCCAAACCCCATAAAGTGCAAGCAATTGTCCATTGTAACATCATGAAAATACCAGATCCTGACAGTGTTGCTGGGCAACCCAAATCTGCCAATGCAGCCAGCTTCCCCTTACTGGGAGATGAGACCTGATCTAAAGGGCATCTTTGAATCGTGGATTCAGAGGTTTCAGTCTATGGTTGCTTGGGGCTGCTGACTGAGGCTGGTGGCAATGCAGTACATCCTGGTGGGGATGGGTAGCAGAGGAGAGATGTCCACTGCACGGTGGCCAGGAGGCTATGGGCAAGGGGAGGAACAGGAAGGGGCTGCACCCCTGTGACTGCACACTTCCACTGACCTCCTACTAGGTGCCACGTCCTGAGGATTCTACCACCTGGGGGCCAAGCCTGTAGCACGTGTGTCTACAGGGGCCATTTCAGGTCCCATCCCTAGCACCACAGTAAACCTTCTCCCCTCACCCTCTCAGCTTAAAAGTGGGAACAGGAAAGAGCTGGAGCTTCCTGTTTGGCTCAGAGTTTCACCTCCTCCTACAGAAAGCTTCTGCCAAGTTTCCCCGTGTCCTCATGTGCTCAGTGCACCTGCCAGGGTCCTTTCATTAGGATACTTTCATGTCTGACTGAACAGCCCCTGTTGTTTACTATTCCCTTTCCTTTATGGCAACTGGCGTGCGCATGAATTAGCATTCATTGCCAACTGCCAAGTCATTACAAGGTACAGTTTGTAAATGGATGCTTTGTAAATTCCAAGGGCTAATCATCAATGAGAATGGCTGGAAATCATAAAAGAAAAGAATCATTGATTGTGCTTTAACATTACTGGAACTGGAGGTATCACTACCGGAACAGGCGGTAGGAGTCATAAATATTTATAGAAACAAAGCACTATCCTTTATGGTCAGACTCTTTAAAGCTCTCAGAAGTTCTCCTCTTCACAGAGATGTAAGTACCACAGAGAGAATGACCGGAGCAAACCCATCCCTTGCTTTTTTTTTTTTTAATTCAAAGTTTATGTAGTTTATACAAATCTCTCTATGATTTTGGTTTATCACCTACTAGTTTTCAAATGGCTTAATATAGAAATAATATGCCAGTGGTCTAAGGGAGCATTTATTAGCCTACCATTTCATTTTCATAGAATTTCAGCAAAACATGTCATTATGCCATTGGCAAATAGAACAGAATGCACGAGTAGAAAACCTTTTTATGGTAAATTATGCAGAGTAACTTGTAAGTGAGGCACTTTAATTAACAAACATTTATACACATAAGAAAGAGTAGATCAGCTCAAATAATAAGTTAAAATTTTATTTTCCTTTGGTGCCTTCTGCCCAAATCCTCCTCTATCAAGCACCTGGTGTGTGTGTGTGTGGGGGGGGCGCCTTAGTTTAGCTGTCTTAGCTGAATCAGATAAAAATGTAAAATTCACAGTTTTTCAGTTAATATAACCCTCTTGGCCCGGTGTGAGACAGAAGCATTTAAAATCAATATACTTTTGAGACCCCCCGATATGCATGTTTTGAGACACAGCTCTATCTGTAACGTGTTACCCACTCAGCCAGCTGGGCAGCAAAGGACAGCTGTCCTTGGACAGCCCTCCACAAGCCTTGCGCTGGACAGTGGAAAGCCCTGCATGCACGGATCGGACCCTCAGCCCCTCTCCAGAAATGAAAAGTAGGAACACCATCAAAAGCCCAGGGTGGTGTTTTAAAAGATCTCTTCTTTCCAAGGACCTGCAGAGCATTTCCATCTTTTTAAGGAAAGATAAGGAGTTAAGTAAAGACTAAAACCCTGATTCTACACATTATTAGAACAAATAAGGCACGTGGAGAAGACACAGACACAGTGTGCAGTGCGGACCTTGAGCTTTCAGTGTCTCTCAGTAAGATGCACGTGTTGACTGCCAAAGCCTGCAAGTGCTCAGCACGCCCAGCAGCCCACAGCAAAGCATGAAGAGATGCGCAGGCAGAGCTCTTTGCTCTGCTCCTTGCCACTCTGTCCCCATCCCTGCTTGCTGTCAGCATGCAGACATCATGGTAGGTGGAATGATCACTTCAGGGTCTTCATGCCATCCCTGAAGTGTATGC